TATGCAAAAAAAAAAAAAAAAATGTGAGAAATGCACACACATACATACAAACACACACAGACAACCCTGTGACAGTATGCTTTTTGTATTGCTGTTATACTGCACAAAACGCATGAAAAGCATCTTCGCACTGGCAGTCGGTACGCTGGCCAATTATTTTTTTAGTTCTAATAGACTGCTTTAGTGTCTCAGGTCCTTAGTCGCTCAGGATTTGTCTTGGACAAGTTCTTAACTATTTTTTACTGTCGGCCAGCATTCGCTTTGTCGTAAATAAGTGCCTAACTTGCAGCTCGCCAAGAATGTGTTCCATGCCACGGCGCCTGTTTTCGTTTTGGCCTTTAGCCATTTCATGCACTTTTGCTTGGAAAAAGCATTTCACTATTTTTGAGAAATTCGTTGAGCAATTCAGCATCAGTGTTCATGCATTCAGTGATCTCTGAGGAGATGTAAAATTGCCTGATTTAGAAAGTGTTTGCGAATGATTATCTCTTTATCCTCAATTATAATGTATTGCAGGCTGGAAAAGGTTTATGGCTTAATCCTGAAATTGAGATGCGCGGCGCGGCATTCCCAATCGGTGGTGATACTGATATTGATGAAATTATTAGCATTCCCAGTAAGTCACATGCAAAATTTGACATTGTTTTTTAATGCGTTTTGTGCTGTGTAATAATAGCACAGATCGCATATTGTCACATCTCTATTTGTGTGTATGTATGTATATATGTATGTATGTATGTGTGCATATGTGTGTGTGTGTGTGTGTCCGAGTTCATTTCGTCCCGCACTTTCAACTCAGTAACCGCGAAAGTTGGGAAGCTGAAATTCTAGTAGAGTGTTCACCGCCTACGTTTGCCACCGTAAACTAAAATTCAGCCTTCACATACCTCTGGATACCACGTACGACCCCGCAAAAATTTTAGTGGAGAAAATTTTTATCTCGGGAACCACGAGGGCCAGGGAGCCGAAATTTTACAGTAGTATCTCCCGACCAACTACAACCCATAAAATTTAAATTAAGCCTTCCGGCGCGGTCGGGTATTGCATACGACCTTGTAAAAGTTTTGGCGGAGGAAATCATTATTTCGGGAGCTACGAAAGCTGAGAGGTTGAAAAATTAGGATATTGTTTCTTGCCACGTATAACCCTGCAAAGTTCGGATTCAGCTTACACGTAAGCTTGGGTCTCACGTATAGTCTTAGCGGGAATATTATTATCTTGAGTGCAAGAAAAGCTGTGAGGCTGAAAACTTCAGGAGGATGTTTCTGCCTATGCCAGAGCCTAACAAGCTCAAATTTAGCTGCCAATTAAGTAAGACTATATGAAGGTTTTGGCGTGAAAATCGCTCGAAAGCCAGAAAATGGAGAGGTTGAAATTTTAGAACAATGTTCATCGTCCATAGTTCCAAATTCAGATTTTACGTACGCTTGCGTTCCACTTACTGGTGCGTGAAATTTTTAAGAGGAAATTTCGCAGCTTAGGACCCTTTCCAATTTTGCAGCTTAGGATTTCGCACTCTTTCCAGCAAATGTTCGCTTTTGACACTTGTTACCTCTCGGGATGCTTCTGGGCCCAGCTTTTCATAGAGAATAAACAATTTCTGAATATCAGACCCTTTAGATTATTCAAAATGTCTCGATGGTTTTAGCATTTTTTAGTAATTCACTGGGTTCATTTAAAGCATGTTGATATTTCGGGAATGTTTCGAGTATCGAAAACTTTAAAAAAAATAACTTTAAACTTCCGAACTTTCCAACTCTTTTGTCAGCTGATCCCAGTGTCGCAGTAATTTACACCGGCTCCATTTACTCGAAGCTAACCAATTTTTCAATAAATGCCCCACCAATTATTTCAGTTTTATCTTTATTTATTACTTGAATACTCGGATCAGCTATAATTCGTAGTCCGATTCTCCCTCTCTCTCTGCAGCTGGCAGCTCTACCAATTACTCTGGGGTATGCGGCATTGCTTGATGTTGGCGATCTTGACGCTGATTTCCCCTTCAAGTCTAGGCTTGATAGCCGGAATTTGAGGAGGAAGCGCCTAAAATTCAAATAGTGATTGAACAAAATTGTTTTTTACAAGCGATTGTCTATAACCCAGAGGAATAAGGAAGGCAGTTATAAACCCTTCGGACAGTCTTTTACCCCATATAAACGTTCTGTTACAGATGTATTGCGACAATTCAACAGTAAGCTGGAGGGGCAGTCGCATGGTATGGGAACGATTGAGCAATTACCACAGTCACAGATGAATTGCGCGAGGAGTGGCGCCCAGAGTGCGGATATGCTTGAGCAGGTGAGCGATTGTCAATCACTGGCCACTGTCTTGAACAGCAATTTTGTTTGCCTCTGGAACTGGATTATTCGAAAATCACCGGATGAGTCCCACCTTTTTTATATCAGTCATTTGAAGGCAAAGGAATTAGTCCGTCGTCTGCAATTTCATTATGGACCAAGGGCAATAAGGAGCAAATGGCTGTTGATAATAATCACCGTTGGCACCGATCAGGTACCTAATTATTATTACATTTGAGATCATTTAGATTTTCATATTTTTCTGAATTTTTTTTTTGTATAAATTTCTGATTTTGGCGAAGTATAAGATGTCGTAAAAGTAGAAAGCAATTTCTTTTAATGTTTTCCCATATTCACAGCACCACATTTACTGGTTTCAGCGGTCTTTGTGCATTCAAGTCGGCGTACCTGTTCCATTACTGCATTAGCTTTGTCAGCTTCTTCACGTACTTCGATTTCAAGAACTTTTCTACATTCATATTGAAACGTGTAGGATTGGGCATTAGCACAAGCAGGTTTTTTCGAATGAAGCAGTTTCACTGTAAAATAATGTTTTCATTTTTAAGATATGCCAGAACTGCTCATCTCCTGATTATACATCTTTACATGGTTCAGTGGAGTATCTAAGAAAGCACTGTCCGCGAGCGCTTGTTGTACTTGTTGGGCCAATTTGGCCTTATTCAGCGCAGCATTCGACTACTAATTTATGGAGGTAATTCCGCCATTATTAATTTTGATTTACTTGCTACATTATGAATAAATAGCAACGCGCACCAGACTAGCCGGTGCGATCATGCGTTTTGTGCAATTCTCCCACCAAACGATTGCCTGTTAATGATTTTCACTGCTTTGTACTTTTGTATATGCAAAAATAGTTCAAACATTGGAAAACAGTTAAAAATTTCACGCACCAGCGTATGAAAGCTAAATAGCAAAAATAGTTCAACAATTGGAAAATAGTTAAAAATTTCACGCACCAGCGCATGAAAGCTGAATTCGACCGTGAAGGATGGATATCTTTTCGTGGTCCCCGAGTTAATAGTTTAACCGCCAAAATTCTCACGAGGCCATAGGTGGTACCCGAGAGCGCGGGAACGCTGAATTTGAATGGGCAAGGTTGAGCGTGGGCAGGGGGTTATTATCCTAAAATTTCAGCCTCCTAGACTCCGTGTTTCCTGAGATATTGA